TTTGGTTGCGAGAAGTGCAGTTTTTAGGGCATGTCATCAATCAAGAAGGTATTTTGGTTGACCCAGCAAAGGTGGAGGCTGTGATGCGATGGGAAGTACCTAGGAATGCCTCGGAGATTCGTAGCTTCTTGGGTTTAGCGGGTTATTATCGGAGATTCATATAGGATTTCTCCAAGATTGCTGTGCCCTTGACCCGTTTGACCAAGAAGAATGTGGCTTTTCGATGGGATGTGGATCAGCAGAGGGCTTTTGAGACCCTGAGGCAGAAGTTATGCGAGGCTCCAATCTTAGTACTGCCCGAGGGGTTGGATGATTTCGTGGTATATTGTGATGCATCGATTTCAGGTTTGGGTGTGGTATTGATGCAGAGAGGGCACGTGATTGCGTATGCTTCGAGGCAGTTGAAGCCTCACGAGGCAAATTACCCCACACATGACCTGGAGCTGGGGGCAATGGTGTTTGCCCTCAAGATTTGGAGGCATTATTTGTATGGGGTGAGATTCATTATTTATACCGATCACAAGAGTCTAAAGTATTTGATGGACCAGCAGAACCTTACTATGCGGCAGAGAAGGTGGTTAGATGTGCTGAAGGATTATGATTGTGAGATCCTATACCATCCAGGAAAGGCCAACGTGGTGGCCGATGCGTTAAGTCGCAAGGCGGCGGGGTCGCCAATTAGGGGTATATGTATGAGGGTGACTGTAAGTCCATCTTTGTTAGACATGATTCGAGAGGCTCAGGTCGAGGGGGTGAAGAAAGAGAACTGGAAGTTGGAGAGAATTCGGGGGCAGTATACTTTGTTTGTTAAGGATAGTCGCGGCTTGTTGACGTAGTGTGGCCGAGTATGGGTGCCAATAACAGGGGGAGTTAGACAGAGGTTGTTAGAGGAGGCGCATAAGTCCAAATTTTCTATACACCCTGGTGCAACGAAAATGTATAGGGATTTGAGGCTGAGATATTGGTGACCCTGCATGAAGCGGGAGATCGCCTGGTTTGTGGAGCGGTGCTTGACCTGCAGGAAGGTCAAGGCCGAGCATCAGCGCCCTCATGGCAAGGTTCAGCCATTACCCATTCCCATGTGGAAGTGGGAAGAGATCACTATGGATTTTATTACAAAGCTACCACGGACAGCGAGGGGGGTAGATGCCATATGGGTGATCGTGGATAGACTGACGAAGAGTGCTCACTTCGTTCCGATCTCCGAGAGTATATCCGCAGAGAAGTTGGCAGACATCTATGTTCGAGAGGTGGTGGCTAGGCACGGAGTGCCGGTATCAGTGATATCAGATAGGGATGTTCGGTTTACATCCATGTTTTGGAAAAAGTTCCACGAGGAACTGGGGTACTCAGCTGCATTTCAGTACGGCGTATCACCCCCAGACTGACGGCCAGAGTGAGAGGAAGATCCAGACACTGGAGGATATGCTGCGGGCATGTGTACTGGATTTTGGGGGAAGTTGGGATACGTACCTCCCACTGGCAGAGTTTTCGAACAATAATAGTTATCATGCCAGTATTGACCGAGCTCCATTCGAGATGTTATATGGACGGAGATGCAGGACCCCAGTATGCTGGGACGAGGTTGGGCATCGGGTCATGGGGAGCACGGAGGTGGTACTCGAGACCACCGGGCTGATTCAGCAGGTGCGCGACCGGTTGCGAGTCGCGCAGAGTCGTCAGAAGAATTATGCTGACCGGCGACGATCGGACCTCGAGTTTCAGGTAGGGGACTTTGTTTTGCTAAAGGTGTCGCCCTGGAAAGGGATTATTCGGTTCCGTAAGAGGGGTAAATTGGGGCCTCAGTTCATAGGCCCGTTCAGGATCATCGCCCGGGTGGGCAAGGTGGCATATCGTTTGGAGCTCCCAGAGGAGCTTAGTCGGATTCACAACACCTTTCATGTGTCTCAGCTTCGGAAGTGCGTTGCCGACGAGTCGTCAGTCATATCCCTGGATAACATACAGTTGGATGGGAGTCTGAATTATGTTGAGAAGCCAGTTGCCATTTTAGATAGGAAAATGAAGAGGCTTCGGAATAAGGAGGTGAAGTTGGTAAAGGTGCAATGGCAGCACCGAAAGGGTTCCGAATGGACTTGGGAATCGGAAGACGAAATGCGGGGGTTCTATCCGGATTTGTTTGGGTTAGCAGACTTCGAGGACGAAGCCTAATTCAAGTGGGGGAGAGTTGTAACGTCTCGATTCTCAGGTATTAATAATATTAAATCTTTTGAGTTTTCAGGTGTACTCGACGAGTTGGTCTCCCTACTCGTCGAGTAGTAGCGGGTTGGTCCGCGAAGTTTAATGACCTACTCGCCGAGTCTAGAAGGGGACTCGACGAGTAGGAGCTGGCAGATAGAACCCTAAATCACGGGGTTGTGCACCCTATTTAAGGAATCATAAGCCTCCCTTGGCCTCTGGACAGTCCTTTGAGAGCCTAGAAAACCCTAATCCGTGTGGTGTTTCTTCCTTGGGTGTTTTAAGCTTTGGAGAGTGGATCCTGGAGGAGAAGGGCTTGGAGGGCAAGAGGCTAGGAGAAAGGAAGCAGAAAGTTACCTCAGTTTAGCATCATTGAAGGTATTAAGTCGCCACCTTCACTTCATTTTTCCTTCTAGATCTCTTGTAGTTGAGATTTAGGGTTTTTATGGCTTGATTGAGAGGTTTATGGGGATATGAGCTAGATCTGAAGTTGTAACTTCAGATCTGGACCCTCCTTGGGTTCTAGAGTCATAAAGCTCTGAGCTTGGCCTTGATTGAAGCTTTCCTTGAGTTTGAAACCCCATTATGAGATTGGATTTGTCCTTAAGAGCCTTTTTAGCCATGCATGCACGTAAAGTTTGCAACTTTATGTGAAAAGTATGCCTTAGAAGCTTGGATCTGTAATTTGGAGCCACTGCATGGCTTAAAAGAGTCTGTATGGCTTAAGGACTGTAGGGACTCGGCGAGTTGCAAGGTTGACTCGGCGAGTCATATGAAGATAGGCCTGGACTCGACGAGTTGGATGAAGAACTCGGCGAGTCCGATGAAGATTGTCGTAGACTCGACGAGTTGCAGGAACAACTCGGCGAGTCGGTTAAAGTTTTCCCCATCTGAGGATGCATGCGATCTTGTCGAGTTGCAAGGAGGGAAAACTCGACTGGTGGTCTTGAATTTCGATCAAACCTTAGGAACTCGACGAGTCACCTCGGTGACTCGGCGAGTGGGCAATATTCCGAGAAACTCGGCGAGTCACTAGAACTACTCGGCGAGTTAGGGTTAACATGGACTGTTGACTTGACCTTGACTGAGGTTGACCAGGGTTGACTTTGGGGGGGGGGTAATGACTGGTTATTGTATGACACTTTTAGGCAGTTGAGTTGGAACAGCACGTGGGGCATATTTGGTCGCAAAGTGTGAGCTCAGCATTCGTAACAGGTGAGTCTTCTCACCATGCCTATGGGTCTAAGGCACCAAGGCCGGCTCATTATGTGATTATGTTATATGTGCTAGTCCTTTTGTGATTAGATATGATTTGTGTTTGTGTGTTTTGCATGAAAGACCTCGGGGGGAACCCGTGTCATTGGATATAAGACCATGTGGGGTAGCCCATGGCATTCCTAGGTGAAGACCATGTGGGGTAGCCCATGGCATTGGACATAAGACCATGTGGGGTAGCCCATGGCAGTCCTAGGTAAAGACCATGTGAGGTAGCCCATGACATTCTTGCTGAATCGTATTACATGGTATCTGTGGTATGTTCATAGCTTTATCTGCTATCAGAATATGTGTAGGGGATTGTGTGTGGTATACTCTGGGAAACTCACTAAGCTTTTCGCTTACAGGCTGTTGATTTGTTTCAGGTACTTCTGAGCCCAAGGGCAAGGGCAAGGCGTGATGACGTGACATGCACTCTATCTCTTTTTTTGATTGGTGGGACCCTCTGATGATTTCAAAAAGAAAAGCAATGATGTAATAAATGTGATTTGGAAAAACAAATGTTTTGGGAATCTATGGTTTATGAGGATGGTTTGGTTAATTCAAAATGAAAAAAATTCTTTGTAAAAATTGGGTTGTTACATCAGATAACGCCTTCATCTTGGTTGGGTGGCTTGTTTGGCGGTAAACAAGAGGAATAGATTCTGAAAGTGAAGACCGAAGTTCTTGAGAGTTTTGACTGGCCATTACCACCGCCTTTTGAGTTCAAGTAATGTGATTTTGCTCGAATGAGGTGATATTTTTGCATATTAGTTAATCAAATTTCATGTTCTAATTAATTTGTCCCGTCTATTCTTCTTTGATTCTTAAACATTATATATAGTTTTTTTTTTTTTTTTTTTTTATTATTTTTTTTTTTTTTGAAATAAGTTGTGATTGCATTCATCTTCGTGTCTGACATGGCTCATTTTCTCTGTTGTTGAGTCTGGATACGGTATGTGTATATGCCATGATTCTTTATCGGATACCACTATTAATTTGTTATTAATCATGTAAATGAACCCATGATTTCATGTCAAATATTCTCACGTTGTCTATGGATTAGTTAGTAGAATAGTTGGATAGCGCTCATAGCTATGCTAAATCTATTATAATACTGGTGCAAAAGAAACATAGTTGTCTGATGATTATGTTCATATGGGTTTAATGAGAAGGCTTTGTTTGTGATTTGTTTATGAAGTAATAGAAAAACTCTAGGTAGGGTCACAAATTCATGATCATCTCATCTTGGGAAATTGAAATGGTTTGATAAATTGAAGATGTTGATTATCTCATCACATTGTCTGCAAGTTTTCTTGAATTGTTTTATAACTATCTTTGAATGTTTTTACAAGGGAGTTTTACTTTCTTAATATTTCAACACTAATTGCATGAATATGATATGATCTGTTCATTGTATTGCAGAAGTAAACATTCTACCGTTGATCCTAATCTAATCCTGCAGCAAGAGAGAAATGACGGTTCTGCCCTTAACCCAGTCTAATCCTCATGGAACACCAATATGTGCAGTACATTTGTGCTTCATGTATATCGCATGTACTCCAATATTATGAGTTTTGACCTCCAAATGAAAATTATTTTTCTATTAACAAAATAGACATAAATTCCAACCCATGCTTAGCATGGGCCCTCTTTCCTAGTTATATTAATTCTAAGGCTCCTTTAGTAACAGTAGTTGATTGGTGGATTTTTTTTTTAATTCTTTTTGTTTTTTTTGCTTGCAGAGTGTTATCAGTGTATCTTCCACCTTTTGTTTCTTCTTTTTCATGCGAAGTTCTGATACCACAATTATCGATTTGTCTGTGAACGTCGCCACCATGAGCTTTTGGGATGCTTCGGTATGTTATGGTCGAAATTGATCTGATATATCCATCTTTTTTAATTTCTCTTGATTTACTACATTTGGCTTACTCATTTTTTAGGGTTTATCTGAAAAGGGGCGGCGACAGAGTGCAACAACAAATTCAAGAAATCGACCAACTCTCCAATCACAGAAGACGCAGTCGTCACAATTTCTTCTCCTCCCCCATCTTCTTCTCTCTAGCCACCGCCGCCAGCTCTCTGAACACCGCCGCCACCCTTATCGACTCAGCTTCCGATATCCAATCTCCACCGCCGCCAATTCTCCGATTAGGTAATGAATTTCCTTTTTTTTTTATGATATATGTCTATAAATCTCGATATGTCCAGATCTGTACTGGTTTTGTGTCTGATATCTTAATTATCCGATTTGCCAATTCTTTGCGATGATAGAAATACTAAAGAAAGGCTTATCAATGACATCAAGTGTACCAAAGTCGATGTCATTGACCCGGGATCAAAAACAAAAGTAAAAAAAGAAGGATGGTGATCAACAAAAGAAGAAGATTAAAAAAGATGATCAAAAGATTGGGGTTTCGGCATCCAGGAAGAGAATTTTATTGATAAAAATGTCGGAAGATTCGATTTGGGTGACTGGAGTTAGTGGTTCGATCTATGAGAGGTTTTTGGAATGGCGTGCAGTGGGTGATTGCACCTCATGAATTCGCTGTACAAGCTGGTTATGCAGTGTCTGTGTTCTTGATCAATCACACAGTTCTTGCTCTTTCTGAAGCAGGAATCTTATACCAGGTTCTTCCATGGAATCTTGATTCTTGTTTTTTTCTGTTTTTTAATTATTAAACTGATATATATATATATATATATATATATATATATATATATATATATTTATTTGCTAAGTTGCTAATTTGCAGATGCAACTAAGTGAAAATTCACAGCCTATCAAATCTGGTGTTAAGGAGGAGGGAGTCGTTCCCTCCCAACCCACCGAACCCACTGTCACATCATTTTTTCTCTTTTAGTTTTCTTCATCTTTCCGAACCCACAACACACTGAAATCTTATCTTTTTGAACCCACTCAATTAAAAAAAATACAAAACAAATAAGGTACAAGTTTTAAAACACATGGTACAAGAGAAAATAAGAAAGAGAAAGTAGAGAGAGATGATGAAGTGGGTTATTGAAACCAATCAACCCACTCGTTGAAGGGGGAGTGGTACCGCCGATAACTCTATTGGTAATTAAGATTTTACATTTGATTGTTTTGTATTTTTTTTAATTGAGTGGGTTGAGTGGGTTCAAAAAGATATGATTTCCGTGTGTTGTGGGTTCGGAAAGATGAAGAAAAACAAAAGAGAAAAAGTGATGTGGCAGTGGGTTCAGTGGGTTGGGAGGGAATCACTCCCTCCTCCCTTATATCACATAATATGGAGTGAGTAGGATGAAATAATTTTATTTTTAACCAATAAATTAATGACATCAAATCCATATTGTAAAATATAAATACAGTATAAACCATGGGAAGTCACTCACATGTCTTCCTTCCTCTTTCATTGCACTTACTGTTTTTATATATATAAATAAAATTTTTATCGACTTTTTTTAGAACAATGTGATAAGACATATTTATGTTGACTTTTTAGGGGAGCTGGTAGATGTAATCATGTTGCAGCTCAGTATGATGATAAATTGGTTCTTGTATTTGGAGGAACTTCGAAGTCTAAATCTTTGAATGATTTATACTCACTTGACTTTGAAACGGCGTGTATAAAGCTTTGTTTATTCATCTGATTATAGAAATTTGATTTTATTATTCTTGAAAAATATTCATCTTTTTGTTTCAGATGATGTGGTTTTCATCCATCACCTCGATCTGGTTGTTGTGGAGTGTTTGTTATGTGGGACTAAATGGTACTACATTGCAGGAGGTGGCAACAGAAGAAAAAAAAAACGTAAATCTTCTAATTTATATTTTCTAAATATAAATAAAATCATAATTCATCTCTCTTAATATATTTTTAGTGTCACATTTAATAGGGCATGAAGAGATATTTTAGTGTATGATATCTTGAAGCTAGAGTGGTTTGTTGTTCATTCCCTAGTTTGTATTAAACTTTGACTTCAAAATATGGCAGGCTGCATATATATAAGGCATGATCCTATTATTAGTTTTGTTTTTTAAATAAATTACCGGTTTTAGGTGGCTTACCAAATCTAACGAACCAATAATTTAATAAAAAAAGTCAAAAGCTTTGATCATTAAAGACACATAATTGTTGAAGTTAGTTGAACTACATAACCACCTTCTCACTCACTTCAAAATTCTTCCATCTATAAATTTCTTTGTTTTCCTTCACCCTATCAATACAAGCCATCTCCAACTACAAACCAAAACTTGATCCTAAATATGGCTTTCCGATGCTTAATTCTGACCTTAGCTGTGGCATTATGTTGTGTGGTGTCACCTGTTTACACTCAAATTAACACTCCATGCACCCCATCGATGATAACTACCTTTACTCCATGTTTGAACTTCATAACCAATAGCACCACAAACGGAAGTTCTACACCGACCTCCGATTGTTGCAATTCTCTCAAATCCATCACAAGTAGTGGCACAGATTGTCTCTGCCTAATTGTTACAGGCAGCGTACCCTTCCAAATTCCCATCAACCAGACCCTTGCCATCTCTCTGCCCCGTGCATGTCGCATGCCCGGTGTGCCTCTTCAGTGTAAAGGTTAGTATATTGATACAACATTTTCTTTTCAACAAAAGTATCATTTGTATAAGAATCTGTCGTGATTTTTTCTTACCATTTATGTGTTCGTTTCAAAATTTGCAGCTGCTGCAGCAGCTCCTATTCCTTCGGCAGGTAATAATCATTTCAATGTTCTCTTAAAAGGCTTCTTTTAGGCTTGTGTATCAACCCATTCAGAATCGTTATAAAATGGTAGTGAGTAGGGGTGAGCATAAGCAGGTATCCGCCGCCCTATCTGTCTGGAACCGGAACCGGCGGTTCTTGGATTGTAGGAACTGGAACCGGAACCGGTCATAACCGTTCTTTAGATTTTGGAACCGGAACCGAACCGCCGGAACCGGTTCTGGTACTGGGTACCCCGTTCTTTTAAGATTTCTTACCATTTTTCATTATATATCCACCGTTACAAACAATTAACTGTTAAAAACTAATATAAGCATAACTCATGGAAAATTAGCTTCAGTCTTCACGAAAAAAAATATGCTTAGAAGTTGGAGGCTACTTTATGTTTAGAAAATATGCATCTATTTACGAAGCTATTAATTCAAATAAGAATTATGTCTTTGACGTTAAGCATAACAAACCATGCAAAATTGTTGCTACTGTTTTACTATCATGAATTTACTTTCACTTTATATATCGGTCGTCCAGACTATCAAAATGTAAATGTAATATGTTATTTGTCTTTTTAAGTTTTGAATATATATATATATATATATATATATATATATATATATATATATATAATATATATATACACACCGGTTCCGTCGGGTACCCAGCGGTTAGCGGTTCCAAAAAAATGAGAACCAGAACCGGAACCACTCAAGGCGGTTCCAAAACTTTAGGAACTGGAACCGGAACCGCTTAAGGCGGTTCCTGTTCCGGAACCGGTAGTTTCGAGGCGGTTCCGGTTCCGAAAGCGGTTACCCTGTTCCGCTGCTCACCCCTAGTAATGAGATAGGCTATATAATAGTTGTTGCTTGTTTTGAAATGGATAGGGCCAGCTCCATCTCCAGGAAGTACTTCTACTGTACCAGAGACGATCACACCAACCTCAGCACCTGAATCAAAAACAACACCAACTTTGGCACCACAATCTGATATGACACCAGACTTATCACCACCATCTACCAGTGTGGATTCTGGAATTCCCACTACCAATCAAGGGAGCCGTCCCACCGTAACACCTTCAGCTGCTGCTTCCAATTATGTCTATTCACCATTTATTCTAGCTGGGACTGGAGTAACCTTCATAGGGTATTTCTTGTTGTTCTAGAGAGAAGATTTCTCATGTAATCATATTCATATCGTTTATCATTACATTGTATTTAAAATTGTTCGTTGAGTAATAATTTATATATTTTTTATCATTTCATTATTTTTATGATACTTGTTTGAAGGGGCGAGGTAAAGTAATAAACATCTCTTATTTTAGGAAGTACCAATAAAATGGGAAAACAACATTTAAATATTGTAAATATACGAGCGAAGAAACACCAAGATCTATGGGAAAATAACATTTAAATATTGTAAATATACAATCGAAGAGCAACTAACACCAAGATCTATGGGGAAACTGATAATATGGAAAAAAACCAACGCGTACTACAAAAAAGCTTATATGATCCGGTTAAATCAATTAAAAAACCTGGTTTTCACCCGGGTCTTATAATAGGCGAGTCCTATGTGAAAGACTAAATAAAACCCGGTTTCAAAACCGGTACCTTTTACACTTTAAAGAAAAGAAAATTACAAATATAACCAAAATAGTTAATTACTTTGTAAAAATAACCAAAAAAAAATCCAAATTACAAAAATAGTCATCAAAATCGCAGATGGATTAAGCCCATCTGCGATTTCACCAAGCCATCTGCGAACATACAAGTCGCTAAAGCACATCCGTGCTTTAGCTACTTGTACGTTCGCAGATTATTTTTTATTTTTATTTTTTATTTGATTTATGGTATAAATAGGGGGTACAAGTAACTAAAATCGCAGATGAACTAAGTTCATCTGCGATTTCCTCTCAGTTCATCTGCGATTTCGTTTTTTTTTTATTTTTTTTATTTTTTTTATTTTTTATTTTTTGACTACGAAATTGATAGGATTTGACTATGAAACAACCATATTATATATAAATTCTTGCAAAAAATTATCACTTTTGTTGTAATTTCTTTGAAAAATTTGTTTATAATCTTTTTAATAAAATGAATTAATATTTGTTTTGTCAAATCGTCCATAATGCTTCCACAGAGAGAGTTCTTCAACGAAAAGTGTGAAAAATGAAACAAACAAAAAAAATTATGTTTTTATACCTGCGAAAAAAGTGAAATCGCAGATGGAATGTGAAATAGCAGATGAACTAGTCCATCTGCGAACGTACAAGTCGTTAAAGCATGGATGTGCTTTAGCGACTTGTACGTTCGCAGATGGCTTTGTCGAATCACAGATGGACTAAGTCCATCTGCGATTTTGCAGACTATTTTTGTAATTGGGTTTTTTTTTTGCTATTTTCTACAAAGTAATTATCGGTTTTGGTTATATTTGTAATTTTCTCTTTAAAGAACATGGTTATTAATTAAAAAACCGGGACATATAATAAGATTAGACTGTGTTCCTGGTATAAATAACCGGGTCATATAAGGCTCATGGCATCATTTTCATATGCAAATTAGAGCTTGGTTCCTACATAACCAGCCGGGTCCTTTGGTATACTAATTTATTTAATATATATATCAAGATTGTAAAAATCGCTCGACGTTAGCTAGTCGGTGGACTGGGGTTAAGGGATTAATCGGCTAGGCGGAGATTAATCGGGGACCATTAATTGCTAATTTGTTAGATTTTAAAAAATTAAATATGACTAATATCATATAAAAGTTCGTAAATGCCACTAATATCATAACAAAATAGGTTAATATGATAAATACAACAATAATCATACCTCAAATAGTTTTTATTAAGATATAAATTCTTCAAAGTGTTAAAAATTTCATCGGGTTCTACTGTTTCAGTCATTGTGTATGCATGGATTAATCGCTAGGCGCTCTCTAATCGGTCGAATAGCGCCTAGGGATTAATCGGGATCTAATCGGGATTTTTACAACACTGATATATATAATCGAGATTTTTACAACATTGATATATATATATATATATATATATATATATATATATATATATATATATATATATATATATATAATATATATATATAAAGACCGGTACCAATATGCAATATGCAGGTTACAACTATTACATTTCTACTTTTGAATTCAACCAATAGAAACTCTCCTACATAACTTACATATTAACATTACTAAGATCCTATCTTACAAAACATCTAAGGAAATCTCAAATGAACCCGACTCAGAGGTTTTTTGACATAACTTTTTTGCCATTTCCCACATTCATTTATGCTTCATATATGAACCTCCTATAACATATACATACAGGGATATAACGTTAGATACTAATCATAGCAGATACAGGGTTGCTAACTTGTTACGAATGTATACTAACGTTAGATATGCAAATTATTTCCCCTGCACCATGTCAAAAGTTTAAAAATCAAAGTTAGATATGCAAATATTCCAACTAATTAGTTATCAAAAATATATTACCAACCCACAGAGCAGCTAAAATTGTTATTCATGGATGCTTTTGTATCACCAAAAGCTTAAAGTATATATCTAGGTTGATTTATTTTGACTGTCGTTTTCTATCAGATGCTCCCTAGCTAGTTTTGTTGCCACACTCTTTCATGCTCCACTTTCGGCACTACATCAAACAAAACTTCCATTTTATAAAAACATTTTAAGGCAAAAACAACATAGAAATGGTGATACAGATTGACTATTTAAACCATCTGTAAAGTAGAGTAAACTTACTTTTATATATATATATATATATATATATATATATATATATATATATATATATATATATATATATATATATCCTTGTTTTACTTTATTTTAATTCTTCAACATCACAATATCGCTTTCAAAAGATACCTCTTATTAGACAGTGATTGGTATGCTAAATATGTTAGTGATTGTAATTATCAATTAGTGTTATTAGACAGCTAGTTTACTATAATTAGATTGAATATGACTCTATATATAGAGCTCCTCTGTGTACAATAAGATATCAATACACAATATACAGAATTCTTATACAAGTTTATTATGGTATCAGAGCCAATCATCCAACCCTAGGGCAGCCGCCACCTCTTTCTTCTTCTCTTTTTTTTTCTTGTTCCTGCAAATCGGTCAACAATGGCCATTGTAGCCTTCACCACAGTGGAGAAAACTAATCACAACTCTCACAAGTTTGGCTTTACCTTAATCCCTACCAATTATGGATATTGGAAAACAATGATCCAACCCTTCCTCATCACAAATGGTCTTTTTGGCTATATCGATGGATCTATTTCTTGTCCATCTAAAACCATTGCAGCTATACCAGCCCCTCAACCAAATCCTGATTATTCTACATGGATCTCCAATGATGCTCATGTCCGCATGTTGTTGCTTTCAACGATCTCTGAAGCCTCATTCAAGCATGTACATGGTGATACTTCTTGCGAATTATGGCTTTCCTTGGAACGTGCTTATGCACCACACACATCCTCACGAGAATACACCCTCAAAACTCAATTGCTCAAGATTGAGATGAAACCTGAAGAAACATCTGCTACCTATCTTGCTCGAGCACAATAATATTCACATGCTTTAGCAAACATTGGTGAGCCTATGAAAGAAAAAGACATTGTTATGTTGGTTATTTCAGGTCTTAGAGAAGAATACAATTCCCTGAAGTCCACCTTGATTGCAAGACAGCCTCATGTTGCCTTTTTGGAACTTTCTGGATTACTTGATGATCACGAGTACATTATAAAAAAGATCGATTCCACTGTTCCGGCTGCTCAAGTTTTCACCACTACAAGCACTTATGATTCTGCTTTTTCCTCACTTACTTCTAAAACGGTACAATCTCTTCAAAAATTGATGACACAATTGGGGTTTAATGTACAACCTGCACAACAGCCAAATCAACCTGCACAACAACCAAATCAGGTGTTTTATACTGCTCGTGCACCTGCCAACCGTGACCGTGGCCCCTCTAGTCGATGTGGTCGCGGGTACTACAAAAACTGGTCGTACAACACAAACAATCAAAACAACCGAAACTCAGGCTCCACTACAGGCAACAATAATAGATTTTCTTGGGCTTCTAATCAGAATACAGTCTATGGTTCTTGTAACTGGTGTGGCATTGGACACGTTCCATCACAATGTCTCAATCGTGACCCAACAATAATTTGTCCACCAAGACAGGCTCCACAAGCAAACTTTACTGATTATCACTCACACGCATCATCATCATGGTTGTCGGACACCGGTGCAAACAGTCACGTGGCGCCTAATATCAGCGGTTTTGACAGCTCTGAGCCTTATTATGGTGAGGATACACTTCATGTTGGTAATGGCAAAGGTTTTCCTATTCTTCATGTTGCTTCTACATCTTTTAACTCACTAAACAAAACCTTTTCAATAAACAAAATTCTACATGTCCCTCAAATCAAACGAAACCTTCTTTCCGTACAACGTTTTTGTCAAGACAAAAATGTATTCTTTGAGTTTCACTCTACTTTTTTTTTGTGTGAAGGATACGGTTACCAGAACTATCCTCCTCATGGGTCCCAGTAAAGATGGTCTCTACTCTTTCTCTCTACCAAAGATTCATCCTGTTTCCAATGTTGCCTTTTCCACTGTTCGAGCTTCTCCATCAACTTGGCATCAAAGACTTAGACACCCCCACCTGCAGCTTTTACATTCTATGATTTCGAAAAACCATCTTCCTGTTACAAACAATTTTGCCATTTCTTTTTGTAATTCGTGCCCTATGGGAAAATCCTCAAAAATGCATTTATCTTCTTCAAATCATCAAAGTTCACATGTCTTGGATTTAGTATTCTGTGATGTTTGGGGACCCGCTCCTATTACTTCCTTTTATGGTCATCGTTATTTTTTACTCTGTGTTGATCATTATACTAGATATATGTGGCTATTTCCCATAAAAAAAATCTGATGTCCTCAACACATTTAAACAGTTTCATACAATGGCTGAAAGACAATTTCAAACTAAACTCAAATCGGTTCAAACTGACTGGGGAGGGGAATTTCGAAACTTATCCTCCTTTTTACAACTCTTGGAATCATACACCGTCTCTCTTGCCCTCATACAAGCGAACAAAATGGATTTGTTGAGCGACGACACCGCCATGTGGTGGAAACCAGTCTCACCCTTTTGGATCAATCTGGTGTTCCAATGCATTTTTGGAACTTTGCTTTTGAGACTGCTACGTATT